GACGAAATAACCCTTGAAAGCCTAAGAAATACCCAAAAAAAAGACAATGACTTGAAGGTTGTCCGAAAATGGCTCAAAAATGGAGTCAGGCCTACTTGGCAAGAGATAGCCAGATATAGTGGAACTATTAAAGGATACTGGGACTCAGTGGGATTCCCTGTATCTTCACGATGGCCTACTGCACCAGAAGTGGAAGAGCCCCTATGGAGTACATAAAGTACGCCAAGTCGTACTGCCGAAATCACATCCCAAGTAACATTTTTAGGAGAAACAAGTTTTATTAGGATTTTGTAAAAGCATAAAAATTAATTATTATTTTATTATAGTTTTTTTTTTGCTAATAGGACTGCAGGATAAATTGATCTTATTACTTGGTTTTATAGATTCCTTTAAATCTGTTTAAGAAAAATAGTTTTTCCTACAGTAAACTATGCTTTATCGCTGTCCTGTAAGGGTTAATTAATAAGTAATTTTAGAACTATTTAGTTTGAGGTGTGTTTGGTGTTAAAGAGGCATACTTTTTGGCAGTTATTTTAAATAGGTTTTAGGATTATACTTTAAATTAAATTAATCCCAGAACCTTTTAGGTACAATGACAATTTTACAACATAATTCTTATATTTTATTTAATCTAGTAAACGATAGGGCTCTTTTAAAACTACATAGTTTTAATAAGAATTAAAGTTTATTTTAGAGCATAACTTAGCTTTTTAACCCAATCCCATTATGTTGACGTTGAAAGATAAGTTGCTTAAAATAAAGAAAAGTGGTAAATTCCATAGAGAATGAAAACAAAATGTATATGTTTAAATTGTTTAACAACATTCCAAGACTCCTAATATTCTGGAAATGATCAGTGAAAGAGAAAAATGGTTAATATATTATTACTAATTTTTATATTTTGAATGACATTTGTAGAGTAAATAAGAAGCTCAAGATTATATGAAACGCTTTAAAAAGTGTAGCAGGAGCTTTTTAAAACTGGAAAGTCCTGAAAAGTGTTTTTTTTTTGCTTTATTAATTTTATAAGCTAATGTCCGTTTTTAGGTACAATGAACAAATCCTCCATTTTAAATATGGCAGTGGCTGTTTAACCACATATCATGTAAAATAGTACCTGTCTACTAGACCCTGTACCTAATGGATATTCAAATAACTTCGTTTGAATATTAAAATAAATTATGGTCAAAGTTCAAATATCTTTCGATTTTAGTAATGACGTAATTTGGGTACCAAAGACAGTGATAGCGTGTCAATGACAACAGTGTGCCAATGACAGTAGATTTATTATTTATGATTGCCGTTTCCTGCGTTTAACCACATAATGTCAAATTTGTTTAATATATCTACAGCTAATACCTTTTAGGGTATATAAATGTAATTTATATTGGAACATGCTATAATATAATGTTATGTAACTCTTGCCTCGCCTAATGTAATTTATAATTAATCACAAAGTTTGTTTCTGATAGTCCAGTAGGTATTATGCGCAATTGAAAATGGTTTTCTGACGATAACAAGTATCCCTGCAAAGACAAATCTACAATAAGTTAATTAGTCACTTCCATGAAATAATTTGAAAAATACAAAATGTAATATTTTATATCAAAAACATATCGAAGACAAATGTAATCATTTTATAGTGCTGAATATACGATATTTACAATGTTATTTTCTATTAAATAACTTTCGGTAAATAGAGTAGAATCCGTATATTAATTCTTTTTTTATATATATGTCATATATTGTAAAGCCCATTATTTATTACGACCCACCTTGTCCACTTTTAACAGTACTTTGGTGTGTGTTTGACAATTGAGGAAATAACAAGTGTAACCAAACAAATTAAACATAAACTATATAATAATTAAATTAATTTCTAATATAGCAGTCTTCCCAACATGTTTGCAAAATCATTCTGTCAGAGAGTATGATAAAAGAGAATAAAGGTAAAAAGTTTAAAATTTAATTCTATTAAAACTGATTAGTTTTGTAAAGTTTTCCCACTTATTATCATAATCTTAAAAAAGATTTAAAAATGGTTTAATAAAATTCTTAATATATTTAGGTCTAATTAGTTTTAAGATCTTGTTTTAAAAATACCCCTAAGAAACGTTATAGGATTCTCCCTTTTACTCTTAAAGTAGATTTATAGCAGCTCTAATGGTATCTTGCAAATTAAAAAGGTTTATCAGTGTCTTAAAAAAGGGTTTATGGTTATTTTGTATAGTTTGATAAATCTAAAAATGTTACTTGGGATGTCAGAGGTGTTGGAGGAGCTTCATAGGAGCCGTTCAGGAGGACACTTTGGTATTAAAAGGAGATTTTATTGGGTCAATTGGCGACGGGATGTAGAAGATTGATGCAAGAAATGTGATCTATGCAGTGGCAGAAAAGGCCCCAAAACAAGAAGCCCAGGTAAAATATTCTCGGACCACTTCCCTTAACAGAAAGGGGAAACAAATACTTGATGGTTGTTATGGACCGAAATAGCGCCTATTCTTAATCAGGAAGCGACGACAGTAGCGGAAGCATTCATGACAAACGTCATAGCAAGGCATGGAGTCCCTCTGGAATTACATTCTGACCATGGACGAAATTTTGAATCCAAATTATGGTAAGAATTGATTGAATTGTTAGGCATCGGGAAAACACGCACTACGCCTCTCCACCCACAGTCCGACGGAATGGTAGAAAGACACCATAGAACCATATGTCAATATTCCTCTTTGAAACCCAAAATGTCTGGGACACTTTAATTCCTCTATTTCTGCTAGCCTACCGAAGTTTTGAACATGAATCGACCAGTTATACGCAATCTATGATGATTACTGGAAGGGCGATGGAGTTTCCTCATGATCTTTTTGGAAGGCAGTCTCTTGGTAAAGAAAAGGGCCGTACACCTCCCACGTGCATACATAACTTAAGAGAAAGACTAGAAAAGGTCTACGGATTTGCTCGGGAACGTTTGAAAGTTAGCAATCATAAAGTAAACGCTATAATCGATATGCATGCCACAGAGACACATTTTGATAGAGGCGACCCATTGTGGCTATATATTCTCCAGCGCCGAAAAGGACTTTCTCAGTAACTGCAATGGAACTGAAAGGCCCCTACACCTGATCTACCACATTAAGTTGTCAGCGGGAAGTAAACCCAAGGTAGTTCACATTGAAAAGTTAGCGCCATACCGTGGTCCAGATCCTCCCGTTGGCTTTAACCAGGTCTTGGGAAGAGGAAGCAATGTTACCCTGCATCCTGCAGTAGCCTGCGGCTATTATAGGGGACGTACGAATAAAAAAAAAAGAAGTGCAATGTCACCCATCACCCCAGTGTGCTTCGGTCAAGTAAAAGTACGAGTAAAAGAAGAAGAGAATAGTCTAGAAACGTTATTACCTCTCAAGAAAAATCTGGACGGTTCGAGAAGGTTCAAGCAAGCTATATAAGTCGATGATCCTGACGTCAAAGAGTCAGTTTTATGATAGACATACGTTAATGTTATCAGTTGTATAGTTGAATTGTAAAAGTCGGGTTGAAATAAATTGAGATACTAAAGACCAGCGTAATATTATCTAAAAAGTTAAAAAATCACAAATGCAAAATCCCGCCCAAAACGAACACAATGTTAATAAAGAAATATCGTACTTATAGGTGACAAATGACAGGCACGCGGAAATTAATTTGAATCGCGTATAATACCTTATGGAATAATAACAGGCTTGTGGAGAATATGATTTACAAAATTTCATTTTTGAACCATCCTACTCTGTATTCTTTAACATTAATATTACAATCAACTGATGCAAACTTTGTTGTTTTATTCAGCGTTCATTTACTAATATTTTACAGAACAGTCCTCATATTATATTGGTGAATATTGTAAAAATATTTAAAAAAAAATAATAATAATATAAAATAATAATACAAAAGTCTAGATAAGAAAAAAAAAATGTTCAATATAGTTTTCATGCTTTTGAATACAAGTATTGCACCATTTCAATAACTTCAATACATTGTAAAAATTGTAGATAGATTTCTACGAAACCACATTCAGCAATGACAGCGTCTGAAACTCAACTTCTGCACTGATGTATTGTCGTGGAGCAACAGAACACATTTAGTCAGTTTTCCTCACTTTCTCACTACGATAGACTATCTAAGGTGATGCATTAAGCAGCTCGCACAATACTCTACTGTTTATCGTGCGACCCTTGCCCAAAAAATGGTTTTTATTGTTTTTTTTTGCAGAAGGAGCGACTTTAAACTTCTTGAGGGCTAGAACCCTTAATATGCCACTGCAGCGATTCTTGTTAGAACTCAGGATCAAAATGATGGATTCTGGTTTCAGTCAATTGATAATAAAATCTGGTTCATCTCCACAGAGCGTCATAAATTGTTCACATGTCTGTATCGAAACAAGAATTTGAAATGGCGAAGGCATTTGCGGCACTCTACTCGCACTAACCTATGACGTTGCAAGGTATTCGTGTAAATTCGGAAAGGTATTGTTCCTGAAACTCCTAATATTAATGCTAATTATTAACATTTTTTTTAATAACATTTTGAAGTGGCCAAGTCAACAGAGCGACATGAACGAGAATCAATTCATTCAATGATTCTCGAGCACATTTAAACAATGTTGGCTATTCTCACAAACGGTTAACTTACAATGACAATCATCTCTGCATACAGCCAACATTTCTTCAAGGATAATTTTTTGATTTTCCCTCGTTTTGTAAGGAATGTTATAACAGCTATATACGACATCATTAATTTTAAAAGGTGACAGCACAAACTGACAGATTATTGTGCCAACTTATTTGTAACGTGTCACATACTTTATCAAGGCATATAAGATTAAAAAAAAAAACAATGAAAAATTTAATTTATATTAAAAACTACCTAGTCCGGGGTTATAAAAACTCGTAGACTTAAACAGAATGTAAGTAATTAGGTAAATATTTAACCTTTAATGAAAATAATTTAAAAAATATACTTACATTTATTTGTATTTTTTGTGTAACGCCCTGTTTTTGTCCAACAAATATCCTGGGGTTAATAGTTGGTTTTGACTGAATCAGTAAGGCGTAGGCTTCATTAACAGATTCTCTGTACTCAAAAAAAACTATTACTCTACTAGAATTGTTAGATTCTTTAAAGTGATCTATTAATATATCTCTCAACTTGTAAAATTTAGGATGACCAAATTTGACACTTGGCGAAATCTGGAAATAATAAATTAATTTTTTTTTGTTTTTATATTATTTAGAGAAAATACGCACTTCTGTAACATCTCCACTAGGTAAGTGGAGGACCTGTGGTGGTGGTCCTAAATATTCTCTAACATCTGCCATTATTTCCCTTACCATTGTATTTCTCTTTATTAATGGTTTATCAATGTGTTCTAAAAAATATTTTTTAACTTACATTTTTTTGATGTATAAACTACTATTTAAAACTAACCCAAAAATTAATTTATTAATAACTTAGTAAATATCTTGACATTTATGGTACTACTTATAAACCTTCCTGCTTTGTTTGTTGGAGTAAATAGTTAATGACGTTCACACACGGAGGAAAAGAAACGCAGTATCAATGATGCGATTCACAGGTCGAGTCATCTATCCCAATCGGTAGTCGATACCACATAACGGGCGTCCCAAAAGTTTTGAGAAAAAAATTAAAGACATATAAAAAAAATATTTTAAAAATTTATTTATCCCTCATAATACTACGCACAAAGTAGTTCCTTAACAATAAATAAAAACTACTACAGCACCGCTAGGGATCCATTTTCTTCGATATGGCTAACTAGATAAATTTGATTTAATACTCCGCATCAGAGCACAGACAAACTTTTTCCCAAAACTTTTGGGACACCCGTTACTTTCCTATCTTGCACATGCAAAAGTCATATACTGTTTACTTCAACACATGCAAAGCAGGACCGAAGGTTTAATCTTGCCAGCAATGTAAACAAAACACAATAGATTTAAAAATAATTTCATACCATCAAAGAATGTAAGAAAGCTTCTTAAACCATGTCTTATTAGTAATTCAGAAGCATGGTACAGTGTTATGCATATGTTGAGACATCTAATGATTTCATCATAGTTTGAACTACAAGAGAGCATATTTAAACAAATATTAATTTATAATTTTTATTATATACCTAGTTGCCCTATTTTGTTTGTAACTTTTGGTCATCATAAATATTTTTCCTTTGGTCAAGTTGGCACAATTACCTTGAATCACTTTGTATTTAACAAGAGTTCTAGTATAATATTCTAAAACCTAAAAACAATATTCACAATAACAACCAAAAACTATAACTAAAACTTAACAATACACAATAGGAACATTCTTGCCGGTGCATTTAAGTTACTTCATAAAAAATAATACATTTTTATAACATTTTTTAAAATTAATTTCGCCTTTTTTGAACATTAAAATTTATAGGCTAGTACTAAAATACTAGAATGAGCCAATTATTATGTCTGAGTACACTTAAGAGCAAACCGGAGTCATCCCGAAAAGCAAATTTCACCTCTATTTGCCATACTCTTTGCCTTTCGTTCCGCGCACAGTCTAAAGCTAAAATATAAAATGAACTAGCTGTTGCCCGCGGCTTTGCTCGCGACTTTACTCGCATGTAGTCTCGTTATTAATATAAAAAATACATGACTTCCTTTTTTATTAATTTTTATTAGTTTTATTTATTTTCATTCATTTCTATTCATTTTTTTTTATATTTATTCATATTTCTTCATTTTTATTTATTTTTACTCATTTTTAATTTTAATTTATTTTTATTAATTTTTATTAATTTTTATTATTTTTTATTAATTTTATTAATTTTTATTAATTTTTATTAATTTTTATTAATTTTTATTAATTTTTATTAATTTTTATTAATTTTTATTAATTTTTATTAATTTTTATTAATTTTTATTAATTTTTATTAATTTTTATTAATTTTTATTAATTTTTATTAATTTTTATTAATTTTTATTAATTTTTATTAATTTTTATTAATTTTTATTAATTTTTATTACTTTTTATTAATTTTTATAACTTTTTATTAATTTTTATTACTTTTTATTACTTTTTATTAATTTTTATTAATTTTTATTAATTTTTATTAATTTTTATTAATTTTTATTAATTTTTATTAATTTTTATTAATTTTTATTAATTTTTATTAATTTTTATTAATTTTTATTAATTTTTATTAATTTTTATTAATTTTTATTAATTTTTATTAATTTTTATTAATTTTTATTAATTTTTATTAATTTTTATTAATTTTTATTAATTTTTATTGATTTTTAATATTTTTTTTTTAAATTTTAGTTTATTTTTATGACTGTTACCATACAAAAATCTAAAAACCACAGAGCACGTCATTATTTATTTATGCTACAATTATACTTTTCAAGTTCCAACGTTTCAAAAATATATTGTTACACAGGTTTTTGGTATCACAATTAATTTCAACTCAACTTTACAATAACAATGCAACTGATAACATTAACATGTAACGTCTATCATAAAAACTGAAAACTGACGTCAGGATCATTCTTATATAGCTTGTTTGACCCTTCTCGAACCTTCGCGAACTGTCGTCTAGAATATTCTTGACGGGCAATGACATTTCTGGACTATTCTATCTTCTTTTACTTATGACGACCTCAGCACACTGTAGGGCGATGAGTAACATTCCACTTATTTTTTCTATCTGTACGTTTCCTATAATAGCCGCAGGCTACTGCAGGGTGCGGCGTAACAATATACTTTTATACAAATTTTCATCCCTGTTTTCCTCCCTTAAATTGTAAAAAAGAAAAAACCATGAAACACATCATTTGTGATTTTTAATCAATAGCTGTAATTCAAATTTTTAACAAAAAAAATATATACATACTATTAAACAAATTTTCACCCCCCATTTCCCCCCTTAAAATGTTAAAATGCAAAAACCCTGAAACACTTCATTATTTATTTATGACGAGAACCTACAATTCCAATGTTCAAGTTCCTACCTTTAAAAAAAATCGATAATTCCAAATAAACTTTTACTCCACGTTTCCCCCCCTTAAAATGTGAAAATCTAAAAACCCTAAAACACGTCATTATTAATTTGTACTCATTAGCTGCAATTCCAATTTTCATGTTACAAACTTTAAAGAGAACCAAAAACATGGATAGGTAGTCATAAGAAAAATGTTGACAAGGGTGTTTAAATCCTTGAACTGTATTACAAATTATTCGAATTATTCCCAAGTGTGGGACAAGGTAAGTAATTTTCTATATTTTTCAAAAAATAAATATTCCACTGATAAATGTACTGATAAAAAAATTCGGTTGGTGTTTTTAGACATCCAAATAATGATTTGATATCATAAACTTTCAAATGAATAAAAATATTGCTGCTACCTAAAACGGAAGTTGCAGTAGAAAAGTGTTCATAAATTTACAGCTATGAATTCGAAAACATTTTATACGTGACCTAGATGCCACCACGACGTAAATTCCTCGTTTCACTCATGACTTATCTACAGAAGAAGACTAGACACAAATACACAATATTTTTGTCCAAAAATATACACAATGCAAAGCGTCAAGACCGGTCCTAATTGTCCTGAATGTCACCTCATTTACAGCAACCTAAGCAAGGTTGTCACATAAAAAATTAAAATTTAACGCCTTTTTTAAAAGTGTCATTAATTGTCATTAATAAATGTAAACTATAAACTTTTAAATGGTTTTGTATTATTTTATGTTTAGCGGATTTTAATTATGCGTTATTTGTATGTAACGTCTGAGGTAACTAAAAAATGTATGTACATATTTATTTGATTTAAAGTCCAATGTCACATAACATCAGAAAATCTAGGAGCATCGGCAACTTCCCATAATGAAATAACTTTTGCCTTCGGAACTGCGCGATTGGAAACGAGGGACCTTTAAATGGGTATGGCCATTTATCTCCCTCTTAATTTTGATGTTCTTTGTCAACTTTCGCATTTGGGTAATCTGTGCTTCGACTATGCCCAAAATTTAATCAGCTCACCGCAGGATGGATCAAAGCCCAAGTTTAAAATTTGTTGTTTATCTTTATCCGTTTTTGAGTTATCTTTAAAATTTGAAATTTGCACTTTTTCTCAAATATCTCGAATATGCAACTTTCATCATGATTCCTATACTTTCCTTATCTGTATACAGAAAAGAAAGTAAAAAATAGGCGTGACAGTGTTTTCTTAGGCAACCCATTTCTGCTATATTTATAAATATATTTTATTTAATAAAAAAAAAACTTCATCCGTTAAACAGATGGGTGAAGGTCGGCCTTACTTCGGATCCTGTACTATTACTACTAAAGTTATTAATGTTACTTTTAGCCAATTGATGACATCAATTTAGTAACATGGGACACGGGTGTTGTTGAAGACTGTAATTTGGGAATCCGGGTTTGTATTACTACAGATAGTATCTTTTGTAACACCGATTATTTAATTCATGTTTAATGTTTTAGATTCCACGAGATAAGTTGTTTAGGGTCTATTTTTACTCCCTTATTATTACTATTTGTATTAGTATTATGATTATAAACTGTACTAAATATTCAAAAAGGGTATTTTTACACGTTTTAGAATTAGCATTAGTGCTTCTTTTTTAATACTCTTTCTCCTAATAAGATATAATTCTGCAGTCAACAAAATGTTGGTTACTGAAGAAATGTGTAAGAGGCCAGTTGTGTTCTTAGAATATTTGTTAAGACATTTGAGTTTTAAACGTGTTTTTATTAATATTTTTACTAGTTAGTTTTATTTAAATATATTATTATTCAAAAATAGGTTTAGTTAAGGACATTTTAACGGATTTACGTCTCAAATTTATAACAGATTAAATGAAGCAGAAATTTGAGACAAATCAGACAGAAAAGAGGCCTTTGCTTCCTCGTGATGACATGTCATTTGTCAACTTTATACTCGGTAAACCATTGATCTGGCCTTATCAATGCGGTAAACACTGCTGATACACAAAAATTGTATACAGCGCATGATTTGTATCGAAATATTATCATTTTCTAGCTTGTTGGAACAAACCTATAAACAACATCTGACAACGGGGTGGGTGGCTCAGTGGTAGTCTCTGCCTGCGGATCCAATGGTCCGAGGTTCGAATCCCACCGTTGGCCGGAATTTTTTCATTTAATTTAATTATTTAAAATTAATTCTGATGCCTTGGTAGGATTCCCTACTTGACCATTCACTGTTGGGTACTAATTAACAGTACTGTTCCTAAAGTGGCGCTGGGAAACAGTAACAAAGCATACACATAACACAAGGCTAATAACCGGTAGCAGTTGATGCCGATGACACAAAAAAAACATCTGACAACATAATCATATGTGTATTGTCAATTGTCATTATCCGTTATCTATTAAAACCAAAGGCCAAATACGTCATTGATTCATTTGATAGAAAAGAAGAAATTTAAGATTAAACTTAAAAGTTGAACCCAGGGACTGGTAACTCAAATGGAAAAACATGAGGTTGGTAATTTAGTACCACTCCAATTAACGGGATGGCGCTCGTATCGAAATATGTCAGTTTTTAGCTCATCAAAACTTCAAACTTGGGGAAATTAAAATGGCTATTGTATTTGAAGGTGTACAAAGGTGTATTGAATTTTGATTTATCTAGAATCTAGATTTATTTTTCGACACTTTCCAATTTTAAGCATGTATTCAAACGATGGGAAGATGGATGTCAGCAACAAACAATAAAGCACTTCCAGATATTGGTAGTGATGCAATTTATACCACATTAAATATGCAGTCGTCATATTAAGGATAAGCAAATAATTTGTAATGTCTTAAAGAAAAATGCACCATCACTGTTTAGTACTAACGGTAAGTAATATTTACAAACTTGTTTTTGATTCAGTCTTAAAATAATTGGTTTGTTATTTAAATTTCTTTTTGTTTTCAGTTTTTAAATGATCATTGTTGTAAAGAAAATGTTGGCCCTCCAAAATAGCCTGTCAATCGATGAAATATTTGAGCCTCAGCCATCAATATCAAAAATTGATTCAATGCAATTGACATCAAACCAGAAAAGACCCTAAAATCTTCAACGGTCCAAACGTGTGTAAGTTTAATTTATGCTCAAAAGTTAAATTCATTTATCACAGTGCCCACATGATAAATAAAAATTTGATAACTACAAGTGCTGTATAAATGAATCAAGAAAACAATTATCGGATGAAGAAATGCTCCTCAACCTAACTAGTCGACTCAATAACCGTATGGCAAATTTTATCCACACTCAAATTTTCCTGGATAGTAAAAAAGGATGATGCTTCAACTTCAATTTTTTTAAACTTATTTGCCACTCCAAGTCGCAAAACTTTTATAAAGGTCTTGAGCACTTATATATGCTGATTTTGTTACAGAAAACATTTTTGATGGGTTTGTTTTATAAATATTTAATTATTTAAATGGTGTAAATGCATATACGTTTGATTATTTCCATGTTTAAATAGACAAATTATATGATGCTGCGTTAATTTACTGTAATAAAAAAAAATAAAATAATTTGCATTTTATTTCAAGTTTGAAATTAATGCAAAAATATAATGAAGTAAAATCAAATAAAGATATAAATTGTCAAAATATTTGACTAATTTCAAATCACAAAACAGCCATATGGTTGTTTTATGATTTGAAACTAGTCAAATATTTTTCCAATTTTTTGCTTTATTTAATTTTCTTCATTACATTTTTGCACTACTACAAAGTTAAATTTCAAAAAGCCCACTCGTGGCGGCCATATTGAATTTTAGTACCACTCCAATTTGATAGATGGCAGCACATCGACTCAAAATTTTACCATTGAGTTTCCCATCTATTCACATTAGTAATCTATGGTTGAACCTGTCAATTATTAAGCATAAATATTACTGCTAATACTAATAATAAATTGAGTATAAATGTCCCCATTACATTGTGAATGTTCAACTTAATCCTTAATCATAATTCTAATGCAAATACTAATAAGGAAGTATAAATAGACTCTTATACAGGGAGAGTCACTAAGAACGTCACCTAATGACGAAAAGTAAGTAGGCATTTTTAAATTTCGTATGCCTATCTCCATAATGCTATAGTGCTACTTGCTAAAAATGCTTTTTAATTAAAAAAAAATATATATATATATATATATATATATATATATATATATATATATATATATATATATATATATATATATATATACTTGGATGTTTACTGCCCTCCGCTTGGCGTCGGGCAGTAAACTTCATCCTGCGGGAGGAAAAGTGGCACTTTCCTCCCTAGTAATACAAATAGCTATTTAACCATCTTGCACGAAATTTTGGTTGTATTAAAAATATTTAGATAAACTCTTTCACACCACTGAATACATTAAAAATGTTAAGAGGATTTTTTCATATAAAATTGTATTTATAAGTGCGCCACTGGAAATACTTAGCAGTTGAATATTACTCGAAAAAGTTGAGAGATTTAAATTTCTGCAATGATATGGTAGCACGCTGCAGACATTTAAGAAAAAGGCAATCGTTTTATCTAAAAACTACTTGATATTTATTTTAAAACAAAAAGCAACAAATTTTCAAAGATTTTTATACAGAATGGCGCGTAAACTTCTTTTTTGATTTTCCATTTAAAAATTGACAAAATACATATTTTTCGATGGTTAAAAAAAAAGGTTTCTTCACCCTAAGTTTTGTAATTATTAGTAATTACAGTAAATTTGACAAAAATCGGACTAAAATAAAGGCGTAAAAAGGAATTTAAACTTTTTAAAGGTGTTCGGTTTGCTCTTAAGAGACGCAGACCAGACTTTTATAGAAAGATGAAAATGCTTAGAATGTTATAAACCAATTTGATGTTATCAGTAATAACTTACTTTCATATAATTATCCTTCACTTCTTGCAATTTATCACCTAGGGGTACTACAATAGTAGTTAAATTTCTTTTAAAAACATAAGGGCTTACATCCAAACTTTCTTCTGTGCGAAATTCTAGATGTGATATCAATAAGTTTTGAACAACCTAAAATATATATATTTTATTAATAATTAACAAAATTTAGGGAATTAAAAAAAATTAAAATTATATTAAGCTATTTTACAACACAAAAAATAATTCAAGGTCAAAACAGATTAAAATATTTCATTATTCATCTTAAAACGTCTATTTCAACATGCTTCACAAAAACTTTTTAATATTTTTTGTTCGGTAATTATTACACAATATTGATTTGCCAAATAATGTTGCCTTCTTGTTTTGGTTCTCATAGCATATATGAACACCCATAGGGGGAGGCTGTGGCCCCCTGGCTTTTGACAAATATACAATTTTTGTGTTAAGGCGGGTACAGATCTGAGCACGTATAGTCCTTCCAATATCCATTGTAGAACACAGTTATGTGGGGAATCATCAATATTTAATATATACGCACGGTACTCATGCCAAATTTAGAAACGAAAAATAATGTTTACTCCCCTTATACAATGCGGTAAATATTAAAGGAACGGTCAGTCAACGTGTACTTGATATATATGTGTCAAAATCCATCATCTCCGTTGTTAACCAATGAAAACATCGAATCGTAAACTTAAATGCACTGTATTGGCCGAAGGTTTACGAAGGGGAGGAGTGTTCGAAAATATTCCTGGAAGACAGTCTGCGATATCAGTGGAGTACTCTCGTGCGGTGTGTTTTGTATGTGTGGTTGGTTTAATTTAAATTTATTTTAATAAATATAAATATGACGTTCTTTAGACCGTGGGCGAATGAAGAAAATGAAATTGCACAATGTAGTGAGATTAAAGACAGGTATGACTTTAACAATAAGGATTTAGATATACAAACACAAGTTATTTTAAATATATTCGAATGTTTAAAAAAGGAAAATATTCAGCAGTCTGATAATGCGATCATAATAAGAATTGCTGAATTAACTAAAGTAGCTGTGGATCATTCACAAAACCGAAAAACGTAAAGAAAAACTGAAATCAGTTGACAGAGCTACCCAAGATTTTATACGAAGGACAATTTATAGTTTATATAAGGAGAACAGGGTTCCAACATTGGAAGTAATACAGCAAAAGGTAGCAGATTTTCCAGGATACACTTATACCAGTTTGGAAACATTGCGTCAAGTTTTGTCACCATGTGGTTTTAAACACAAAAAAAAATGAATAAACGGATGGCAATCACCGAATCGTCAAGGATAGTTCAATGGCGACAAGATTATTTGCGTCAGATAAAAGAGTACAGAAGTTCTAATAGACACTTAATTTATCTAGATGAAACATGGTTTGACAGTCACGATGTAGTAAATTTCGGTTGGGTTGACAGTAGTAAAAATTGCTGTTTGAATGGGCCATGTTCTAAAGGGAAACGTATTATAATAGTACACGCTGGAAGCAAAGACGGTTTCGTGCCTAATGCCTTATTATTATCTGTTAAACTAAAAACTGTGCAGCTGATTATCATGAAGATATGACAGCAAAATTATTTGAAAAATGGTTTAATGAACAGCTCTTACCTAATACTTTTCTCAGACTACCTCCTTACTATTGCATATTTAACTCTATAGAGTTAATATGGGAAAACGTAAAATCAGAATTACGAAAATGTAATCAGTCTCCAGAACTGAGTAAACAGGTTGTAGAACTCGTAAAGAAAGTTCTAGCAGCAGACCGCCAAGAGCTTTGGAAAAAAACTGCGTCGAACATGTTATTAAAGAAGAAGATGAGTATGTAGTATTGCCCTCTTTACAACCCATCATAATTCAACCAAATGATGACTCTAGTTCAAAGGATTCAGACTGCCATGATTAGTTATAAAGATACTTTAGAATTAAATTGTTTTTTTTTTCGTTTTATTTGCAAAGAATTTATTTTCCTTTATAATTTTTGCTTTAAAATTTCATTTAAAAAAAAAAAAAAATGAATAGGATACAAAAACAACTCAATTCACATCCGGTACCCTCTTTAAACCAAACGCCCTTACAGGCAGGTACACTTTACTCGCTTTTTTACGTTTTATATTAATATTCAGTTGTAGCAAGTTAACGAGCTATAATGATTTTTTTTAAGTCCAAGTAAGACTACAATTAAGTGCATCTGTCTAAATCAAGGCGTATAATAACGTCCAATTTATAATGATTCGATTTCCTTTTAACGAATACTTTCTTGCATATGATATATATTAAAAGTATTTATAAAATAAATTTATAAAATGAGGTAGGCATCTACGCCTATGGCAGATCAAACAAAATTGTCGGTAAAGGTTCCGAACGAGTTTTTATGTTCTGCAATTGATAATGGAAGAACATTACCCGTATGAGGCAAGCCGAGGCCAAACCGAATGCTTCGTGCGGCGCATTTTGTACACATGAATGGTAGAAGCACGAGGCACTGTTCGCTACTGATCCAGTGAATTCGCAAGTACTTAACTGTAAACCCAGAATACTCGTATAATTAAAACAAAAATGGAGGTCTGGTGCCTGTTTTATTATTTTATCTTGCTCTCCATAAAATATCTCGCTGATTATATACATCCAGGAGAAGCAAAACCTTTTCCTGACTCCACTTCATGCAAAATAAATCTTGAAAACTCTATAATCTATTCCAGCCATACTAAACCTGCGGCCCGCGGGCCGCATGCGGCTCTCCAAGTTTTTTTGTGCGGCCCTCTAAGCTTTTTTGTGGAGCCCCAAACACTATTATTAGGAAGGTGCTTTTTAAAACTATTGCTTTTTGTTTTTAAAATTTTGAGCGAAATGCGCGAAAACATTAACATTAAGCGATAAATATCATGCTATCCCATACAGCACACATTATCTCAGAAATATTTCAAACATTTCAAACATGTTACTGAAATATTTGTTGTAAAAGGCCAACACTTAATGAATAATTTCTGATTTGTAAGAAGCTCAAGATGGTATATGTAGGTATTTTATTTCATTCTATGTCCAGCCAGAGACAACCCTATATTCCAAATAATTATGGATTTGAGTTGTCGGTTTTTGACATTTTCTTTTTTTTGTTATTTATGCGTTGTGCTGTTGTTATATGGGAAGCAGAATAGGCAGAATATGTCTTTAGAAATTGAGGTATTACAATGCTTGTTTAGGTTAGGTTTATAACTTTATATCTTTTCTGCGACGAGTGACGCCATTTAGTTTATCAAATTTATAGGTATTTTATGTTCTTATTTCTATTTAAATATAACCTACATTTGCTGTCCCTTCACCAGTTTTATTTATTAGTTCTACAGCTGATTGAAAAGTGGAGCTTCATGTTTTGGGTAGGCATGAGTATTGTTAGTTTTATAATTAATTTAAAACAATACCAATAGACTTTTTAATTACCTATAATTTGTTTCAGATTAGTGCATTTAAAGGATTTGGTGAAAATGAAGCGATTCGCCAGCTTTGGAGCTGTGCCAGTAAAAGCAACATCGAAGTTATTCAACGTTTTCAGAATAAAGTATTAAGGAACATCGTCGATGCACCCTGGTACTGACACAATAGTAATCTTCATAGGGACCTTAAAGTGGAGACTGTTGAAAATACAATACAAAATTTTTCCAATATCACCAACGACTGCTCCAACATGGAAACCTTGAGATTATCCAGCTCCTAAACAATACCAATCTAATAAGAAGACTCAAGAGAACCAAGCCTTTTTAGTTAGTTCAGTGATGTTAAAGCAGAGTATAGTGCTGTTAAGTGTTATACGTTAACGGTAGTGTAACTAAATAATTAGACTCTGAGGTATACCAGTGAGTAGAATATTAGTCTATGAACTTTTTCATCCTTTGATAAGTTATAATAAAATTGCTAATTGATCTTAATGATCAGATTGTAATCATCGTAAATGTTTCTTTACTTGGGACTTTTATTAAAAAAAAAAATATTTGTTTCAGATTAGTGCATTTAAAGGAATTTGTGGAAATGAAGCGATTCGCCTTTATATTTTATGAAATAATGTTTAAAAATTATTTATTAGATTATTTGTTTAGGAATCAATGTTTGAGTTTTGTGTATTTTAAATAAACATGTATATTTATAAATGTATTTTTTTAGTATAATATTATTTTAGAAAAAAAAGCTAGAATACATTTCTGAAATATTACTATTTAATATTTCTGAAAGGTTTCAAATTTTTATTTCAGAAATATTACTGTGAAATATTATATGTACAGGACATTTTTACGTTTCAGACACATTTCAGAAATGTTTCTGGGATGTTTCGTAATATTTATACATTATAAATGTTTTAATGTAATATTTTTGAAATATTTCCGAAATATGTTTGTGATATATGGGATCATGCTAATATTTTTATTATTTTGCATTTATATTTTGTGATTTATGTATTAGCGATCCCAAGTAATTTTAAATGGTTAATACACCTACAGTCCATTTTTGAAACAAATTGTCTTTTTTTTTAGAAAAGATTTAAACCGAATCCCTATCGTCACCCATTGGACTTTATTTACATTTCAAAAAGGTGGCAACTTTAGTTATCACCCAAAAATATTGCGGCCCATGTAGCATAACAAACAGATTCATGTTGCCCGAAAGAAAAAAAGGTTGAGTACAGCTGATCTATTCGGTACAAGTTTCCCGTCCAGACTGAGCACGTACCAGTGTTGCCACATCAATTAATTTTTTCGTAATAGAATTTTAAACCAAAAGGTAATAAAATTGTAATAGATAATATTTAAATGTAACATAAATGTACCAGAACTGTTATTAAATACATTTAACAATAAAACTTTTAGTTGAGAAGAAATTCTTTCTGCTGCTGCAAAAGAATGGGGTAACGATAATAAACGGCAAATTAATTTTTTTAAATTAGGAAACATTGGTTCGTCCAGTAAATTTTTTATTTCAAAGATGTTAGCCCAAAA